GAATTGCGGGCTAAAACGTGGACGAAACATTTTTCACTTTAATACCACATATTGCCACGCAAAATTAATAAACGCTAGTCCTCATCGAGATACATCGAATGGCTTTTAAATTTTTTAAAATCGGTCCATCCGTTTTTGAGAAACGTCGATTTATGGTCAAAATCTGTTCACATACACACATACTTTTCCAAATTCGGTCTCAAACGGACTGAAACGTCGAGAAAACATAAAATTAGCGAATCGGATTTTTGACGAAAACATAAACTCCTTCGGGAAGTTAATAAAAATCCCACTTACAACTAATTGATTAGACAATAACAATTGTTACATAAATATATTTCTATTTTCCAGACTTGGAAATCTCTCACCGAAGCAGACTTTAGTTACAACGAAATAAAAAGACATAGACGACTCCATAAAACTGATGCCAAGTGTAAAAAACTTTAAATCTTGTACACAACAAATTATCAGACGTTTAAAAAATATCGAATCTATCTCAACTACCTCAATGTGCAATTTGAATCTATCCGAGAACCACTTCTACAGCTGTGCCGACTTGCATACAAGTCTGGGAAATATCGTTTGTTTAGATCTATCCCAGAATTTATATCGAGCCTTTCAGTTTAAGTAAATTGTACTCCCTAGAAAGCCTCGATGTTAGTTGTTAATAAAATCACGGATATAAAAGAGATTGTCCACATCGGTAGTTTGCCGTGTTTGGAAAATGTTAGAATAACAGGCAATCCTTTATCCTGTATTGTTGATTATCGAGTCAAAGTCCTGGAGTGTTTAATGCTCGAGCGAATGATATTAATTTAGATAATGAAAAACCGACTGTGCAGGAATGGATAAGGTGAGGGTTTTGCAGGCTTTACGTATTGCTAAGAGGGAATTGCACCTTCTTTTTCAAGTAATAATACCAGTTTGTTCCCGAATTTGGTAAGCAGTGGTTCTTGATAGTATTTAATAATAATAATAGTTAATTAGAAAAGGTAAAACAAATTTAGAACGTGAATAATATATATTTATTATAACGATTTTAATATGTACATATAATGATTGAGGAAGTACTAATTAGTAGAATTTTAACAAAGTTAATAATGATTGTAAATAATAAATATTGTAATTAATATATTTTAATACTACAATATATTTATAACGTAAGCAACGCGTTTTATTTCAGAAAAATAGGAATATAACACGGTAAATTTCTGGAACTTCCCGACTCAACTTTCGTAGTTTATATATAAATGCTTATATTATTATATATATATACTAGATGACCCGACAGACGTCTGTACCCACGTCTACAATTTTTTAATATCCCATACTAATATTTACCATTTACCTAAAAAATATAATAATTGTTATTCTAATTACTCCTTGCACTAAAATGCATATACATCAATATGAGCGATGTTAAATGTAGAACTGTTTTAGATAAAATGATGAGTCTCAATGCCCACATTATATTGGAAATTAAAGTCTTTTAAGCGGTATAACACAATTAAAAAAAAATTAATATATAGTATCCCTTTGGATGTTTCCACCCAAAATAATTGCTCCAATAATGTGCTCCTATAATTTTATAATCTCGCGTATCTCAGCTGTTTTTTGGCAGTAATAATTTAGTCATTTCATTTTTCTTATTCATAATCATGAATTTATTATACATATAAATTGAAATTTTTGGCAGATAACAGTTTTCATTTGTTTCAATGCCAAACAACGTCTCAAATATTGCAATGGCAAACATGAAATGCCGTTTTTTGCAATTTTTCCCATTTTTTTCTACATTATTACTATATTTTTATAATCACATCACAAATAAAACAATTCCTTTAACAAACTTCAGAAAGATTGATCAAAATCCGAATAATCGTTTAGGAGGAGTATATTTACATACATCATTACAGTAGAATTTTAAATAATTCAAACATTTAAATATCCCGCCATTCTATTGTTAGTGAAGTGTTACGCAAGTTGCGTCATCTGCGCAAAATCGCTTCATTTTATTAAACTAAACGTCAAACATATATTGCACATGTGTTGCAAATCTTCAACGACAAACATTATTTTTTATAAAAATGTATATATTAATTTAATACATCACAAAATGTATCCTGTAGCTTAGTTTGTATAGAAATTTAGTGTTATAAATACAAGTGAATAATAAATTCAGTGATTATTTCTTGCAATGATTTTCGTGGAGCCGACATAACCTCAAAAAAGCATGTAAGTAAATGTCGCATGTTATTTATAATTTTAATTTAATATACATACATATATATGTATGTATGTATATGTATGCAAATAAATATATAATAGCAAATAAGTTTATACAGACATCCCAAACGATTAATAAAATGTATAAATTAAGGTTTCCATACGTTTCATAGAGCATGTTTTACTTTTCTTCAAAAAAAACTTTTGATTTTCATTTCGTATATTATAGTTTATATACATCAAAAAAAAAACTAGATAAAATTACTAAAATCTGATAAACACTGATATATACACTTGGATATTGAAATTTTGTACAATTCGTAGTTGAAATTTGGATTTTAGTATTTGATTAAGTACATTTTTTTCTTTTTTCTCAAATAACTTTCAATTTTGATTTGGACATTATAATTTTTAGGGAAAAGTCTATTTGTTTTTGGAAATACTAAAATCTACGAAAAATTCTTATAGACTGTTTGCCTCATAGTGTGTGTATATTATTTTTAGTATAAACATTTATCAATAATCACACTAATTCTATTTTTTACCATACTTTTTGTATGGGGGTGTATAAAACAATTTATACAGTATTTTAGTAAATTTTATCTAGTTTTTGCTAAGCTAAATGAAAAAGTCTCTGGAACAAATTTTTATGTAAATTGAACAAACGTAAAAAAGTGTCCCGAATCCTTATATTGTTCAATGCATAAGGACGAGTTCACAGTAGTTTAATTTTTTCACAAATAGTTTGTATCAGGCTATTGGGGCATATAAAAAAGTTTATACTAAATTTTAGTAAATTTTATCTAGTTTCTGCTAAATTAAATAAAAAGGAGTGTCTAGAACAAATTTTATGCAATTTAAAAAAGCGTAAAAGAGTGTCCCGAATCCATGTAATACTCACACAATAATTTCGTTTTTTCCCAAAAATTTGCACCAGACAGATAAAATATTAACTACAATAACCGAAAAATAATCACACTTTTATCAATGCTCTAAAAAGCTTATAATTTTCAAACTACTTCAGGTAAATTATTTTTCTAATTTTTTTTCATGATATTTAAGATAAATAATAAAATCCCATTTAGGCTTGTCGTTGAGTTCTGGGACCCTCTGTATACTTTTCATGTATCTATTTAAACACAAACATTTTATATTTAAACATAATTATAATTATTCAATTCATAAATTACATTTCTTCCTTTTCTATATCCTGTATAGAAATTAAATACATTTTTAATTCTTAATTCTAAAAGTTAGTATTTTACAAATATTTTTAATACTTAAGGATATTTTATAATTAATAACTATTAACTGATATTTATAATATTCTAATTTTTACATTCGTAATGTTTTTAATTTAATTTAATTTAAATTAGTAAAATTATACTTTTGTTCTTCTAGTAAGTAATTTTTCAATGCACTTATATATATTTTTAGTTAAATGAAATGAAAATGCGACATTTTCATATATTTAATTTTTTTTCAATTCGAATATTTTTTTTTATAAATTATATATATATAGTTTATTGTACTATTATATATTTATCTCAATGTTTATCGAATAAAAATCCAGATGCACTGAAAAGGCCTTAATTCATATTGAAACGTATATGGTATGATTTATTATAATTCAATGGATAAATAATTTATTTTCACATACACACACACACACACACACATATATATATATATATATATATATATTATATATATCTATATATATCATATATATATATATAGATATATATATATATATATATATATATATATATATATATGATAGTTTCTTCGACGTTGAAACATATTTCAAAGTAACTAGCAGCCTATTTGTCGAATAAAAAAGTAATAACGTATTTAAGAACTTTTATTTATACGTTTCAACACCAGATGTGTGTCATCATTCAGCAACTACAATAAATTTTAGCATTTTACTGATATAAAACAAATATAAAATACTTATAAACGTAGAGAAACATTATACATACCACCAGAACAAAAACACTCAAAAAAATATTTTTAAAAAATTAAACTTGTAACATATTAGCAAAGGACAATTTTTGAAAAATAATGAGAAACTACAAAAACTTGTCCTGGTTGTATATATAATGTTTCTCTATGTTTATAATTATTTTATATTAGTAAAATGTTCAAATTTATTGTAGTTGCTGAATGATGACACGCATCTGGTGTCGAAACGTATAAATAAAAGTTTTTAAATACTTTTTACATTTTTTATTTCGACGAATGGGTTGATAGTTACTTTGAAATATATATATATATATATATATATATATATATATATATATATATACTATTACTATTCAAACTATAAATTGCGATCAAGCATATGACTTTTTAACGGCTTTAATCATGTTTTTGGAGCTAATTAATTATTTAAAGTTGATTTTTTTTTGACCCACTTAAATACCATGTATTTCCCAAGTTCGATAATACTGAAATCGAATCTTTGTCGCCCACAAAAAACTTCGATAACGCCCTCATTTAAAAATTATGTATAATTCGTGTAAATATAAAATTAGACGTCTAAATCAGATGGGAAACATATTTTTTTATTTGTTATAAATCATATAAAACAGTTCTCCCTCCAAATTTTCCACAATTTTTAAAATAAATATTGTCCGGTCCGTCTAAAAACAAGATTTGAATATTGCGCCATGATTTTTTACCCATCTGGCGACGATTCATTTCTAATGGGGTATACAATGTATACTATACATACATACATACATACATACTATTTCTCATCTTATCCATACATACTTAAGAAACAATTCTAATTTAACAAATATTACTTAATTGATTTTTCCATATATATCTCATACTTATATATTTTATTTATGCTCTTGTTCTATTTATTTTCTTTATGTTCCTATAATTTGATGATTAAACTAAATTTTAAGATTATTGTCCATTACCACTATCTACACCAGAAACAGTACCAACAGTTTTTAAGTTTCAACTGATTTTACCACTAAACAATTCGGTTTACCATCTAAGCTTCATAGTTGGGTAAAGGTCTTCCAAGTTCTACGACACCAGATCGTTGGAACGAATTTTGTGCATTTGCAGTCGTATTTTGAGCAGTCGCCTCTGTATATTCAGATGGTGGAATATCATCATCCAAATCATCACGTTCTTCTTCCTCATCGATGATACTGATATCACGAATGGAAGGACGATGACTTCTTCGCCAACCTGGAAAAAAAGAAAATTTTTCATAATTTAACACCTATAACACTTTTGGCTTGGTTATCTTTGTACCTTCTATGATTTGTGGTTGTCTGGTTTTCGTGAGCAACCTTGGTCCACTCAAAGAGATCAAAATTGCTCCTAAGGGAGCTGTTACTATGATGCTCATTACGCAAACCATAAGGACGATTTCAGCCCTTCGTTTGTCTTCTTCAGATCCATTGTCTTGCAAAGTTGCCATTGCTACTGGACCAAGAGCTGCCTGGTAAAAAAGTATCACAAAGTCATAAATTTTTTTTGCATAGTTTTATTGTCAATCAAAATAATATACATTTAAGAGATTATCTCCTATGAGATATCTCTCTTTTTTTATTTTTGACATTTTATTTAAGATCGTATGGCCATTTTTTTTTTCAATCTTCGTGTGGGATATTCCTCGCTTAACTCTTTTAAATATAGGTTTGGGTGACCTGGTAGTTTTTCGTGGTATTTTTTGCTCCTTTCTTTTATCATCTCAATAATAGTTTTTATTTTTAGGTCTTTATGTAGGGTGTCATTTGCAACATACCAGGGTGCGTTCACAATGCATCTTAAAATTTTCGATTGCGATACTTGTATTTTTTTTTATATTTGAAAAGTCATAAAAATAGAACAAATACGCTTTACTCTGTATGAGTGTCTTCAGCATATCACAGACGGCGCTAGTGCACTTGAAATTTCGCATTTGTTTTTTTTTTTTAAATATAGTCTATCTACATATAGTACACGTACTTTAAACGTTTAAGTACCAATTTTATATATGTATTGAAATGTATCTTATTTGAATGTGATATATTTTTAACTTCCCGTAGGGTAGTTATAGTAATGGGCAGAAAATCGAAAATGAAAATTTTTGCATTTCTCGACGTTTTGAAGGTTTCTGAACATTTTTGGCATACCTCAGAAAAAATGAATGTTTGTGGGTTTTGTGTGTCCGCATTTTTACGTCCACGTTTTCGGGCGCACGGATCAAACGATTTGAATGGTTTAAAAAACATTCGATCCTTATTGATAGGGAGATGTGTTGATTAGTTTTTGGCAAAGGCAGGTCCAGCAGTTACGGAGATACGGAGCAGATAGTGCAGAAAATACAAATCGAGTTTTTGAGAGAACGGAGTATCGGATTTGAATGATTTAAAAAAACATTCAATTAGTATTGATTGGTAGAAGTAGTTATTAGTTTTTGGCGAAGGCAGGTCCCGCGATTTCTAAGATACAGAGCTAAATGTGCAAAACATTGCAATTTTGAGTGAACTAAGCGTCCGATTTGAATGATCTAAAAACTTTCTTTTTGTTTTGACCAAACAATTGCTTTTGAGGATAAAAAATTATTACATCTTTTTTTATTTTTCATAAAATATTCTTGTTTGTAATTTTCGATTTAAAAAATTTAAAAAATTACCCAGGCTAAGCACAGTCTAAGCGCCACTCTGGTACAAATGTTTACCCAAGTGCGTTGTTTTTTACACTGAAAAATGTGAAAATGCCGCCAAGCTAAGCACGGTATAAGTGCAAATGCCGCACAGAATTATTTGCAAATGCGTTTAGACTGTGACTATACGGGAGCACTTTTTTAATTTTGTGTAAATTAGGCAACTATTTTTTTTTTGAAGTTGAATTCAAAATGAAATGACGATTGTTAATGTTGTGGAGATAAATTGATTTATGATATGCCGAGTGTATTAAAATTGATGTAATTTCCAAGCGACTGTGTTTGCTATATATTTATACTTGTTTATTTATGGTTATGTCTACTTACTTGTACTGTTGCCTTTGACATCCAAGACAAAGCCACAAAGAATTTCTCTTTAAGGTTCAATCTACATCTGATGGCTACAATTACAGTGCAGACTATACGAACAAGTATACCTGTTATCAGACATCCAACACCTAAAGATACTATGGATCCATCCAATTCGTTAATCTACAAAGACAAAAGATTGTTAATAAATTTTCACTTTAGAACCACTTAATAATTAGTTAACCAAAAACTTATATTTTAAAAACACTTAGAAAATTGTGGAACAAAATATTTCCTTTATCAAAATACCTAAAAATTTGTAAAAGAAAAAACAACTTATATTGTAAAAATACTTAACAATAATAATAAAAATGATAATGATAATATTATTAATAATAATAACAATAATATAAGACACTTAAAGGGTATGGGCGTGTTTCCATACAGAATTGGCCCCACCCTGGCATTTAAATGATTTTGATGCCATTATATAGGTATTTTCGAGAAAATTCGAAATACCAAATGTCAAATCCGTAACTCATCATTTGGCCGAGATATCAGTGAAAACATGTGAAAGTGGCCCCTTTTTGTCGGAAATATGAGAGATATTGAAAAACTGTTAACGTCATTCTATTTATACTGATCTTGTCTATGTTGTTCATAACAAATAATGTGAAAAAATTATTTGTTAGTGCGTGAAAAGGTGAAAATTATTTTTCATTTTCCATTTTCTACCAGTGTGGCTCTTTGGATTACTTTTATATTAGCATCATTTGAAAGCCTGTACATTTTTCTTCTGTTATTCAAAAATTCATTTAAATGTAAGTGGAACTTTGGGTGAAAAGTTGGAAAAACTTAAGCTAGTACACGCGCTGCCGGTACAAGAACATCCATATAAAGTCGCTTTGCAAGAGCGACGAGCAAGCATAAGGCCAAAATTTATATCTTGTATATAAGTATATTCATTAGTCATAATAAAAATCCAACGCGCCGAATAAAAATAATAATAATCATTATTGATTATTTTCATTCGCCGTATAAGCTTGTGACTAATATATTTTAATGTATGAAAAGTTAAGGTTTCAATATTTTTCGAATTTTCTCGAAAATACCTATAAAATGGCATCAAAATTATTTAAATACCAGGGTGGGGCCAATTCTGTATGGAAACACGCTCAGACCCTTTGTTAAAATATCAACCAAAAACTTGTTAAATAAAATAATTATATCGTAAAAGTATTGTAAAGCTTATTAAAATACTTATTAAATTTTAAAAAAATACTTGCAACAAACAAACTAGTTATATTTAAAAATAATTAAAATTAACTAAACATAACTAAGTTTATAGTAAATAAATTAAATAATAAATAAATAAGTAATAAAATAGCTAATAATTAATTAAATTATATCAAACCTGTAAAATATTGACTTAAGCCTTATTATAATATTCTTATACGGACGGCTTGTAAAATAAATAAATAAATAAGTAAACAAATGGAAAAGTAAGAAAGAAAGGGATATCTGAATTTTCTGACCTTTATCCCTGCACCGGTGATACCAAACAGAATCGGTTCAAAAATCATCCAAAATATTTCAAAAGCTGTCGATACAGGATTGTCTTCGACTTCCCAACCTTGTTGGGACCAAAAGTAACAGCTGACAAAAGCTGCAGCAACTACTGCTAAAGGACCAGCACCTTTGGAAAAAGACACAAGTTAGATTGTACTATCTTATATATAAAAATGAATCGCAAAATGTGTTGGTTTTATATTATTTTAATTTCTGGCACATCTCAGCTGCTTTTTGGCAATAATAATGTAGACATTACATTTTTCTTATTTATAATCATAAATTTATTATACATATTCTAATATTATCTAGGTTCATAAGTAAATTGAAATTTTTCGCAGATGATAGTTTTCATTTGTTTTTTGCAATTTTTTCATTTATTTCTACAATATTGCACATACATCCCAGTACTTTAGTTAGAATAACATACATCTTAGAAAATTTTCTTAGCAAACTTCAGAAAAGTTTATCAAAATCCGAATAATCGTTTAGAAGGATTATACGATTATTATTCGACAACGCCTGGACCGATTTGGCCAATTTTTTTTTAAATGTTCGTTGAAGTCCAGGGATGGTTCTTACGGCGAGAAAAAATCGAATAATTGCCGGGAAAACCCTAAAAACAGGCCTTTTCTTCTTCTCTGTTTTCGAACTAATCAATTTGAGCTTTATTGCTATTATATAAAGTTCATAATAAATTACAAGCACTCACTGTATACTCCTTCTAAACAATTATGCGGATTTTGATAAATCTTTCTGAAGCATGTTACGGAAATTTTCTAGGATGTATATGATTATAAAGTACTGGGATGTATGTGCAATATTGTAGAAATGAATGGAAAAAATGTAAAAAACGACATGTCATTGTTTGCATTGAAAACAAATAAAAACTATCATCTGCCAAAAATTTCAATTTACTTATGAACCTAGACAATACTAGATAGATATAGATATAATAAATTTATGATTATGAATAACAAAAATGAAATGTCTACATTATTATTGCCGAAAAGCAGCTGAGATGTACCAGAAATTAAATAATATAAAATACAGTATATGTATAGCAGATTGAATGATACACATATGAACAGAATATGACAAATTAATTCACTTGAAATATGAAATTAATTATTAATCAGGGCCGGTCCAACCTTTAATGCGATGCATGCGAAAAATACGTGCGCACGCCTTAGGGGGCGCCAGCACAAGATTCGGATATTAAATTTTTAATATAGTTTTTTTTAAATATATAATTTCTTTGCATCTTTTACTACTCTTTCCACAATATTTTTAAAATTCGTACAAATTTCACTTTATAACAACAAATGGGAAAGTAAAGATGAATACATACAACTCCCTTGCGATTTCGATTAGGAGAAGTTTAAGATGCAATTTTGGATATCCTAAATAATAAAAAATTAAATTAATTTAATCCTACATGAAGTACCAGTGTTATGTTATGGTTATGTTATACCGTTTAAAAGACTTCAATTTCCATTATAGTGCGAGAATCGAGACTCATCATTTTATTTAATGCAGTTCTACATTAAACATCGCTCATGTTATAAATGTATATGCATTTTGGCATGAAGAGTAATTTAAAAAACAATAATTATTATTTTAGGTAAACGGTAAATATTAGTATGTTATATTACAAAATTGTAGACATTGGTACAGGACAACGTCTGTCGGGTCATCTAGTTTTTCATAAAAGTATTGTTCATACCTTCAAATCCTATGGATTCTGATCCAAAAACAGCGATCAAACCGCCTCCAAATAACATCAACGTCCTCAAAGGTACCACGAAAGGGTCACCCTTTTCAGGGACGTATTTTGCTAACCAACCCCAGAAGACACCAAATCCTATGCCTCCGATTATTGATACTGGGCCTTGGGCGATCTGGAATGCTAAAATAATAACAATTACTACTTATTCCAGTTATTTACAAGTCAATTTTTACCTAGTGAGTCTGATGAAAACATGATGCTGCTGATTATTCCAAAAACAGCTACTGAGGCAGCATCATCGATACCAGCAACGGCTATGATCAGTGTTGGAATTCCTTTGGCTACACCATAACCCTTTCCTCTCAACCTGAACAGACATGGGACTACTACTGCAGGGGAAACTGCAGCTACTATCGATCCTGAGAATAGACAGATCAATCAAGGCTTTTTATTAAAAAAATACTTAGGAGCAAATTGAAGATTTCTATTCTACTTGCCTAATAGAAGTCCCCACATCCAAGGCAAATCTAAAAGATAGTGCGACATGACAGCCATGATCACAGCCTCAACAGTCCATGGTATTAGACCTAATTTCAAAATGACTCCGTAAAGTTTTTTGAAAGCACCAGGATCCATCTCTAAACCAGCTCTGGTCAATATTATAACTAGGGCGAATTTGCGCAATTCGACGACCAGGTGGTGCATCTCGTGGCCTAAGTCGACTAGACCTACATTCTAGGAAAAATAAATAATTTTATCATTATGAAGACCCAGGAATCAGTTTTCTTTATGTCTTGCTATGTTGCTGGTTAATATAAATCAAGTCTTGTCAAGGTCTTCTACTGTATTAAGTTAAGGTTTCTCCAAGTGTTGACAGTAGTCGTTTTTCTGGTTCTATTTTCAACAAGTTTGTCTAGTATCTTAGTTGGTTGAATTGTTAGTCTATTACTACTGTCTATTACCTACCTGGAATATTATCCCTACAACCAACATTCCAATAAGTGCTGGCAATGTAGTCAGAGATATTAGCCAGCCTCCAAAATGGGCAGCAACTGTTAGGGCTGCCAAACCGAATAAAGCACCTCCAGGAGCTGCTGTGTCTCCCAAAATTGCATAGACTACTCCCCATATTAATAAACCTAGAAGGATAAAAAATAGATACAAATATAATAGATAAATATAAATATAAATCATAAATAGATACAAATAGTCTAGTAGATTGTAATGTAAATTAATCAGTTACAAGAAAGTCTCGTCAGCTTAATCAGTTTATTAACTTTCCGAAGGAGAAGTTTATGTTTTCATCAAAAAATCCGATTCGCTAATTTTACATTTTCTCGACGTTTCAAGCCATTCTGAATCGAATGAGACCAAATTTGGAAAATGTGTGTGTGTGTGTGAACAGATTTTTTGCCGTAAATCGACGTCTTCTCAAAAACGCGGCTGGACCGATTTCAAAAATTTAAAAGCCATTCGATGTATTTTAATAAGGACTAGCGTTTATCAATTTTGCGCGACGATCAACCAAGTCGTTTCTTTGTGAATCGCAGAAAAGTGAAAAATTTTCGTCCACATTTTAGCCCGCAATTCTGAATCGATTTTGAAAATTCAAAAACCGTTCGATAGATATTGGTTGGGAATCGTGCTGATTAGTTTTTGGTAAAGATCGGCCGGGCCGTTTTCTTATAATAAAGTTTAAAAAAAATCGGCGATTTTTATGATTTTTTTTGACGGTAGATATCATAGTCTTCTAGATCATACTAAAATATTAAGGTCCTACGACAAGTCGTTTAATTTTAAAAATTTGTCAAAGTTTGCAAACATTATAATCGTTTTTTTTTGGCATTTGTCAAAATTAGACTTTTCATCGACGTTTACTCAAAAACGCCTGAACCGATTTCAGAAATTTAAAAGTCATTTGATGTATCTCGATGAGGACTATCATTTCTCAGTTTTGTGCGACGATCGGCCGAGCCGTTTCTTTGTAATTTGGAAAAAATCATCCACATTTAGGCTCATACTACCGAATCGATTTTAAAACATCAAAAACTGTTCGAAAGATATTATTTGGGAACGATACTGATTAGTTTTATGTGAAAATCTACCGAGCCGTTTTCTTGTAATTAACTGTTGAAAAAAATTTAAGCCGATTTTCATGGAACTTTTTTTGGCGATATATATCATGGTCTTATAGAACTTACTGAAACTTTTTTGGCCAAAAACAATACCGTAGTCATGCCCCAACCTCCATATTCACCAGATATGGCTCCGTGTGACTTTTTCCTATTCCCAAAGTTGAAGAGACCCATGAAAGGACGGCGGTTTTCCTCGATTGAAGAAAATCGCCGAGAGTGCTCAAGGACATATCAAAAAGTGAATATCAAGGGTGCTTCGAAAATTGGAAAAAACGCTGGCATAAGTGTATTATATCTGGGGGGGACTACTTTGAAGGGGACCACATTAATGTAGACGAATAAATAAATATTTTTTTGAAAAAACGAAAATTCCGGGTACTTTTTGAACAGACCTCGTATATCATGGCCTTCAAGAACTTAGTGAAACATTACAGCCTTAGGTACGACAAGTAGTTTAATTTTGAAAATTCATTAATGTTTGAGAAAATGAGTAGTTTTTTTGAGGTTTGTTTAAACTAAAATTAGACGATTTACTTAGTACTTAGTCTTAATGAACATACTAAAACATTAAAGTCCTATGGAAACTGGTTCAATTATAAAAATTATTGATTTGTGAAAATTTGCTTTTAGAAAATACTCCGAGTTAACGTGTTCGTTCGTTTTCAATTATGCGTAATAAATCCCCTCGGAATACTTTTAATTGCTCATAAATTAATTTATTTCTTATTGATTGAGTCGATTATTTATACATATTGGGAAGTTTATGTAACTTGCCTCAAGGCAAAATACCAATACCAACTCGATTGGAAAATGGGATCTATGTCATTTTTATTAGTTAGGTTTGATCAATTGTGAGCACATGTCTTTTCCCCTTACCTAATAAGAATAATGACGTCAGCCTAGCAAACTGTCTATAACTTGGGCAAAGTGGATATGGGCAAATTTTTTGCCAATGTGGAGGTTCCCAGGATGATGCAGATTCTTCTCCTCTGCATTTTGAACAACACACATAAATCCAAGAAGATTCCAAGGCTTCTTGTTCGTGTTTGGAATATACACTATTGGCTATCGATGATTTGTTGGAACGCATCGAACCACCATTGTGCCGAATATCTAGAAAAAAAAGTAATGGAAACAATTATTTTTTTCGGCAATTAAAATAAATTGATGTCGACTATTTACCTGTGTGGTAAATATCATGTTCTGTAGACCCAGAATGCTGCTGGGCGTTGTGCAGAATACTTTTTTTCCTTACTGGACCAATGTCTTCGTGTGTTGAATGCTGGGATACTCCAGAAATCTAACCACATAACCAGGAATTTAACATACATCTAAAGAAATTCTAGGGAGATATTCTAGTGTAGAGCGATGAATTTTAGGTCATTTTTAAAGTGTCGTAAAAGAAAGCAATAAATGTTTTTACTATCCATTTTTTTACCACTTGTTTAATTATTGAAATACAATACAATTTTTTTTTTAAAAGTTGAAAATTGTAAAAACTGGCAGCTGATAAAGTCGGGGTTTTCAAAAAATTGGCACCTCAGTCTTGACACGATTTCAGCCCTCCTAGCCATCCGAAATAAAAGAAATAAAAAGATTATTAATGTTTGATAAAAAATGTTTTTTTTTTTTAGTTTAAAAAGTTTTTTTTTGAGTTTCTCGAATTTTTTAACTTCCCGTAGCTCAAGTTATAGTAATCGCAAAAAAATTGAAAATGAAAATTTTTATATATCTTTACGTTTCAGAAGTTTCTAAACATTTTGGCATACCTTAGAAAAAATGGATGTGTGTGTGTGTACGTGTATGTATGTATGTGCGGATACAATTTTTTGTCGACGATTTCGGGAACACGGATCAACCGATTTGAATGATTCAAAAAACATTCGATTCGTATTGATAAGGAGACGTGCTGATTAGTTTTTGGCGAAGGCAGGTCTAGCCGTTCCGAAGATACGGGGCAAAAAGTGCCGAAAACGGTAACTCAGTTTTTAAGAGAACGGAGCGTCCGATTTGAATAATTCAAAAAACATTTTATTTGTATTGACTAAATGAAGAACTGTTCAAATTTTTGGAAAGGCAGGTCCAACGACTTTGGAGATATGGAGGAAAAAGTAAAAAATTGAACCATTTGGCGGTCAAACATGATGATTAGACATATGCACATCAAATTATCAGATATTTTATAGAGATTTTAACAATAAGTATAAATTTTGTTTGCATTCCTATGGGTTCCGTACCAATGCTTATTCATTAGACGACGACGCGGCGCTTACGCGCTTCGATATTTCGTCTATGTAGTTAAAGCAGTACTATTGCTTTGAAAAAAAGTCAGAATTTCCAAAATATGTCAAAAAAAGAAAACATTTTTTTTTTTCAAAACAATAATTTTTTGTCAAATTCCTAGTTTATAGAAAATCTAATTTTTTCGAAGTAAATTTTTTTTAAAAATGTTAATCGTTTTTGAAAAAATAATAATATTTGGTACGAGAAGTTCCAGCAATTTGCCTTAACGCACGATGCCTTAATTGCCTTAAGACAGAATTCCACTTACAGCTAGTTAAATATAGTAAAAATTGGAATTTGGGGATGATCCTAGTTCGGGCTATAGATAGGTCTATAAACAAGACTCTCTGAACATTTCAAATAAATCGGTCGAGTAGAACTCGAGAAATCGTGTCAACAGTACTGAAAAAGTCTGTTCTGAGAAAAAAGCATTTAAAGTTTTGCGTGAAGCCAAACCAGTATGGAGACCGAGTCAGTAAAATGCCTATATCTCCGAAAATAATTCAAATTTTCAAAAAACTTCTCGTACCTACATTCTTAGATAGTTAAACTTCGAAAATGTGTAATTAAAAAAAATCGATTTTTTTGAATTTCTACACTAGAATACCCCCTTAAGGTATTTTTGTTACCTTTCTCCTTGGGTGCAAAGATCCTTCAAAAGCAGGATTGTCATATCCTCCAGGACCACTAGGACAATGTGCAACACTCACAGGATCACTTGCAATACTTACACGCCTTTTTGGAGGCGTCGGAGGTTCCGTACCAGGCATCGTGACTGCCAAAGTTGATACAGGGATTTTAAGATTCTTTCTTTGTTCTAAAAATTGCTGGGCCGCAAGTGGTTGTGATTGTCTTCTTGCTGGAGGCACTGGATGAAACTAAAAAAAAATATGTCTTATAATTAAATATAATCTTATATATAAAAATGGAGCTCTCAATCAAATGATCCGCTAAAACTCGAAAACGACTAAACCGATTTGGTCAGTCTTGGTCTTGAAAATTCGTGCTAATCATCAGTAGGTTGGCAGAAAGGTGAGATATTATTTCAAAATCGCGTGGAAACTTTACATTTTTAATTTGAATTTTTTTTTTGTAGAAGCGTAATTTGAATAAAATAATGGACGGTGGCTAATACGTCAAACGTTTAGCTAATACGTTTTTGGCAGGTGATGCTCCATTACGTTTAATAGGATGTTTTGCGTGAATATTATTTAATTATGATTAAATTGTAGTAAGTAGTTTTGTTTGTAGTTGTATTTATACACAAAAACGTTATTAAACGGATTGCAAGTGTTACTAGAAACTCAAAATATCAACTTTTTTGAAATGTTAATTCGAAAATGCATTCTTTGGCGTTGTAGCACTCTTCTTTGCAAATCATATTTTCCTCAAACACGGTGCTCTGAAAGATCTCATTTGTAAAATTCTATTCTCATTGGTATTTATAAAATATTTTCAAGGTTATATTATTTTTTATTTATGTTATTTAAATTCAGAACCTAAATTTGGTATCGATCGAAGGGACATTTTGTCGAATAACATTTTCCCAGTTATAATTTCTCAGAATTTATCGAAGAATAGATAGTAATATATGAAGGTGCGGGGTTAAAAAGATCCACTACCGATGTGTCAAAAACCAGTAAAGTTAAGCATTGTTTAACAAAGATATTTGAAAGTAGAGGGAAAAAGATGTATAACCAGCTATTAGCTTGATTCTTATGACTTTGCTATCGGGAGATAAACGGTAATCTTTGAAAATCCAAAATAAAAGTAATTTCTTTCGTTGGTAGTTTTTTAGCATTAGTTAAAAATGAAATCATTTTGAAAAATGCATTTAAAATTAAAATAAGACATTAAACTTGTTTGCCACCTGCCCGTTTCAAGTTACCCTGCCTATAGGGTAAAAAGGTCTAGATAACAAATTTTTGAAAGACAGCAAAAAAACACATTTTTACAATGATGAAGTAGCTGACAGTTTTACTGAACGTAGTCAGATAATTGTTCGTTTAAAATGTATTATTTGTTATGATATAATTGGTTTGATTTTTATAATACAATTAATATTTGCTCAAAGTCAAATTGGACCTTTGTGCTTCGCCCGGCTCTACATATATACTTTTCATTAAATTTATTTTGATTAATCGAATGTTACTTGAAACTTTTCAAAAAGCAGGTCAAAGAAGAAATACCTAATTTATTTTCTATCTCTCCTCGCAGAAATTTGAAAATTTTGTATAAACTCAGTATTTTTGTTTACAATTATACACAAAATCCAGAATCCAAAAAAAATCTGAAAACTTGAAACGTAATCAATAAGTGTATTGACAAAATATAGACATACTAATGGGGTTTATTGTTTTTATAATACCTCTCATTGTATATAGTATTCAAACAACGCATCCTTATACACTTAAAGTATCAATATTTTTGATTCTCTAGAAATTGTTTAGAATATATCTTACTTAGCAGAACAACATTTGCCGAGTCAGCTAGTTTGTATATACAAATGTAGTATCTAATTGTACTTACATCGACTGGTAGATGCTCCAAAGAAGTCTTCTTAGGCTGGTTTACTATAGGACTGTCTGGTTCACTATTGTTTACCAATTGATCACTAACTCTTCGTGCAAAGTTTTCAGACTTGACATGACCATTTGAAACATGAGTTGTCGTATCATCACCATTTGTTAACTTCTCATCAGGCTCCGAAACTCTGCGAACCGAGAACTTGCTATTGGGAACATCACCATTTAAATTCGCAGAACTTTCAACAGACTCCTCTTCTTCATCCTCATCGTCATCAAAAGGATTTGTAGGCTCTTTCTTGATAATTTCTATCTTATGTTCATTTACTGATCTCGTAGATATTTTCCTCGGAGGTTTTTCAGTCAAACTAAGCTTTTTCGTTCTATTGATGTCTTCAAACTTTTTCCCCGGTTCTTCGGTTTCTGGTTTGACGTGATTTGGTATTTCTGGGGTTGGTTGTTTTTGTTCTTCTGGTATTGTATCTGGTATTGATTCTGTGACTTGTTGGATGTCGAAATTTAGTTCTTCGTCACTGTTTGCGGCAGGGGTTGGGGGTTGTATTGTTATGACTAGCTCATTCCCGGGGCCAGAGACGCGCGCCTCTGCGTCCATTCTGCTTCAACTGGGGAAAAAATAGGTAAAGGATAGATTTTTAATATTACATTTAGATTATAACATTTTTTTTAGTGTAAGCTTGGGGTATTTGATTACTTTGGCTTTTACTTGCTTTGGGTAAAGAACATAATTTATCAGTTTTTTACATGTCTCTTTACATTTTTTTGGCATTTAGGCACAGCTCATAAAAATGATAATATTTTTATGAGATACTAGCAAATCCGATGAACTCCGTTTCGCCACCAGATGGTTTCGTGAGAAAGATGAAGAAATTTTTGTTTGTTTTATATTTGAAAAGAAAAAAATTGATTTTATTACACAACAGTAATGAATTTATTTCGATTACAAAATTTAAGTGCTTTTTAGTTGAACTTCTCTAAGTAAATGAAAGTGAATCCGCAAATTATCCGTTTCATTGAAGTGCTTCTTGGTAAACCACATTTTTTGTTTTTTGGTCTGACGTTAACACGAACAAAGCGGATGGTTTTCCAACTCGTGAACAGGCAACGTATAACCGGCCATGTGAAAAACAATGATTTTCTAAATAATCTATTTGAAATTTATCCCGCAAACACTAAGCGATTGGCCTTGCGACTTGTTATTGCGAACGCAAACCGAACTGAAAATTGCAATCGTTTGAAGTCAAACGGAAGACCAGTCGGAATCATTGGTATGTCACCAAATCGCCAGCAATTTTTGATTGAATGGTGAAATTCAGTGCGTGTACATCATTATTCTTTGCGGCAAGAATTGCTCGTTGACTTAACCAAGCATAATTCTGATAATTCTCACTAATGTCATTACTCGAATTTTTAATTACGGTGCGTGAAGTTTCAGCAGCTTGCATTAAGGCACGATGCCATGCACCACTAATATTCTTAGCTTGTGGAGCCCGAGACCTTTCCAACGAATGCAAAATTGTCGAAATCGGTTCGTGCGTTCTGGAGTTAAATCGTGAGGAAGGAAAACCCGACTTATTTTTATATATATGTAGATAATATTAGGATAATATTGGTAGAAATATTTATTTCTCGTTAAATTGCTTTTATAAACTTTGGATATTTGAGTTGAAATTCAAGTGCCACTTAGAAGAAGGATTATAAGGCACTTTTCTTAGCTATTGTTGAGACTACTCAATTTGAAAATCATGAATACTCAAAAATAATTTTCAAATTTACAAAAATCAATGTGGTAATATATGCACGGATTAAACTCGTTTGCTTCGGGATAAATTTTAAGGACATTTTTATTGGTTCAATATGATAATTAAAGTACTGATTTTATATTGGTGATTGATGGTGATATTTTCTGTGTAGACAAAAGCAAAGTTCTCTTATGCCAAATAGTCATATTTCCTCTAAATCACCAAAATTCTTAATAGACCTGGCCTTCTCAAAAATCAATCAAATTTAAATCTAATGTTAAATAAATATGTTGTCCCATTTCTCTCAAAAACATGTCAGAAATTTTTATTTGTACATACATAATTAAAATTTGTTTGATATACCTAGTAACACACAAAAATACAAACTTGTGGTACATGTACACATCGTGCCTTGCTGCAAATTGCTGGAACTTCCCGTACGAAAAATTAATTTTTTTAGAACTTTTAATAAATAAGATTTTTGAGACTTTTAGAATTTTTGAACAAAAATAACATTTTTTAAAAATTATTATTTTTCATACTCTGAAATATTTTGGAAACTTACGTTAGCTTAATAGAGATATAGAAGCGCGTGGGTGCCGCGATCGCAATATGACGAAAAAACATTGGTGCGGAACCCTTAAAAGAAATGTAAACAAATTTTGGTTTCTTGGTTCTAAATTCTAAAACACAAATGAAATTTTATCCATGTTATTTCCATAAGAAAACTTGGTTGGAGTGCGGACTATCTTAAAATTAATATTAAGAACTAAAACTTTCAGAGATTTTTTTTTATCAATTTAGAAGCATTTGAGCCTATGGGAGCAAAGAAATTCGAAAACATCCATATTAAGGACCACTCGAAATCAATTTAATATTGCAAAACTAAACTTAGTGACCAATTTAATCTAAAATTCTACTACTTCTTCATAGAATATTTCGGCCAACTATCATCGCCGCAAAATTTTCCTGGAAAACTAAACTCGTCCGCCGTTCAAGATCTGATAGATCAACTTGAGAAAATTACGTCGGATAAGTTATCAGATAAACAATAATATTGAATCGCTTATCACAAAAACTGCTTATCATCTCGAGTAGTCGAGTAGTCGTCGATCTGATCTATTTTAAAGTGTGTTCCAGATTTCTCATCAATCGGTATCAATAAACGAGGCGCAATTATTGATTTTTCAATTGCGCTAATTGTTGATTAATTGTTGTATAATCGATTTATATATATATATATATATATATATATATATATATATATATATATTTGATGTAGATAGATTCAAGGACTATTTGGACATTCCGAAAGATTCTGATATTCATGGATGGATACTTGTAAAGTTGGTTTGGATTGGACGAAAAATAGGTGATAGCGTTTTGGAATTTTGGTACTTAAGTTTTTCATGAAATACAAACAGTCTGAATAAAAATAACTAGTTGGTATTGGTATTTTGCCTTGAGGCAAGTTACATGAACTTTTCGATATGTGTAAATAATCGACTTAATCAATAAAAAATAAAACAATTTATGAGTGATTAAAAGTATTCCGAGTGGATTTATTACAAATTATTGAAAACTAACGAACGAGTATTTTCTAAAAGCAAATTTTCAAAAATCAACAATTTTTAAAATCGAACCAGTTTCCGTAGTACTTTAATGGTTTAGTATGTTGAGTACATACTCTATCGTTGTACCAAGTAAATCGTCTAATTTTAATTTTAACAAACGTCAAAAAAACTACTCATTTTCTCAAACTTTGATTAATTTTTAAAATTAAATTACTTGTCATAAGGCCGTAATATTTCGCAAAAAAAATGTTCCATGAAAATCGGCTTAAATTTTTTTTTCACGGCAAAAAATCTTCATATATACACACACACCCACATACTTTTTCCTTAAATTTGGTCTCATTCGATTCAGAATGACTTGAAATGTCGAGAAAACATAAAATTAGCGAATCGGATTTTTTGATGAAAACATAGTTTCTTCTTCGGGAAGTTAAAAATGTGCATTGAATTAAAATATTCTGATTGGTTATTTACAAAATTGAAATTGATTACATTTTGCAAAATGTTGAAATGTTATTTTGAAACATACTTATAATATTTGTAATTAATTTGTAACACATTTCATTTTATTCGTTTTGGGTTTTAAAAATACATTTTATTTAAATTAAATTAAATGTAGTAAATAGTTATTTACGAAACACTGAACTTTAATTATTTTTATTAACTTTCCGTAGGGTAAGTTATAGTAATCGTCCAAAAATCAAAAATGAAATTTTTTATATATCTTTACGTTTCAAAGGTTTCTCACTATTTTGTCATACCTTGAAGAAATGGATGCATGTGTGTGTGTTCGGATACAAAATTTCGTCGATGATTTTGCGAACATCGGGTTCAACCGATTTGAATGATTAAAAAAAACATTCGATTCGTATTTATAGAGAGATGTGCTGATTAGTTTTTGGCAAAGGCAGGTCCAGCCGATTCGGAGATACGAAGCAAAAAGTACCAAAAATGGTAATCCTATTTTTAAGAGAAAGGTTTCAATAATTCAAAAAATAAAAAAGTCAATTTAAATCAAAAATTTCAAAATTCAGTATAAATAAATATTTTTTTATTAATCCAATTATAGATATCATGAGTCTATTTGAAAGATATCAATGGAAATTGCATTTTTAAGCGATAAATTTATTTCTTGAATAAATCTTTGAAAATTGTACAATTAGGTACGTATCTAATTAGCTAAATCTTTCTAAATTTCTTGTTGATCAAGTTGATTATTTACACTTATAAGGCTGTTCAAGCAATTTGCCTAAAGGGGGTGTTTTATTGTAGAAGCAATCAATTTTTTTACCAAATTTTTTTCTGTAATTTATTTATCAATATTACACGAGCACTTACAGCATTTTTATATAGCATTTTTTTATAACTATTTATCAATGTTGCATGAGCACACAAAAAAGTAAAAATAAACAAAAGTTAATTATTTTAAAAGTTAGCAGTTGTTGAAATCTGAAAAATTTAACACGTGATCATGCCCACGATTACAACCCTTAGTAATAGTAAAAATAGTAAATAGTAATAACTCATGGGGATGCATTTCCATACATTATTACTATTTGAGGCCAGTGTACGCTAAAGAGAAGACTCTCGAAAATTTCATCTAAAATGGTTCAGTAGATCCCAAGAAATTGTGGGAATCGTATTGAAAAAGATAGTTCTGAGAAAAACGCGCTTAAAATTTTAAAAGAAGAGCATTATGATGGTCGAAGAACTGTTTTTCCGAAAATAATTTAAATTTTTACAATTCCTCTCGTATATATATTCTTAAATATGAAACTTCCAGAATATGAAACAAAAAGAAAATCGTTTTATTTAGAATTTCTGCACTAGAATACTCCCTTAAGGCAAATGCCACGCTAACTAAAACTAGTACATTTGTTTTAATGAATACCACTCACCGCAAAAGCCATCTTGATATAATTTTTTAACACAAAAACCAAAAAAATAAATCCTTTTACAACATTCACTTTCCTATCAATTTCCTTAAAATTTTACTACAAATATTTTTTCAATATCTTTTCCTGATATCTCTCTGTCACTCCCGGTCCGACGGTTAAACTTGAACTAATTACTAATATCGATCAATCGATCAATCGGTCGATTAATTCATCGATGTCATTGTCAGGTGTAAACACTCCTGTTGTTATTTTCGAACTGTTCGTACAAATTTACAGTCGATGGTTGACGGTTGTCGTAATACTACAAATATCACAAAATTGCGATAAATGAAA